TAGCAAGGGTAAGAAGATTCCTCACAAGATATTGCGTTACTTTCCACTAACACCTAGGTTGAGAAGATTGTACATGTCTAGGAAGACGGAAAAAGACATGAGATGGCATAGTGATAAGCGTGTGGATGATGGTGTAGGGAGGCATCCGGCTGATTGTAAAGAGTGGGAGGAATTTGATTTGCATTATCCAGAGTTTGCCCAGGAGACTCGCAATGTTAGGTTGGGCCTAGCCACCGATGGGTTCAACCCTTTTGGGAACATGAGCACTTCCTATAGCATGTGGCCTGTCATACTCATGCCCTATAACCTCCCACCTTGGAGATGTATGAAGGCCCCTTTTTTCATGATGTCTTTACTTATTCATGGACGTAATCAACCAGGGACTGATATTGATGTCTACCTAAGGCCATTGATTGATGAGTCGAAGGAGTTGTGGGAGAATGGTGTGATGACTTACGATGCCTCCACTAAACAGACCTTCCGGATGCATGCAGCTGTAATGTGGACCATAAATGACTTCTCTGCATATGGTGACTTATCCGGATGGAGAACTAAAGGTTATTTGTCTTTCCCTCCTTGTAATGATAATCCGTTGTCACGCGGGTTGATCAGTAAGATTGGGTGGGTGGGTCATCGAGCTTACTTGCCTGATAACCACCTTTGGAGGAAAGACAAGAAGTTTGATGGTTTAACTGAGCTTAGAAAGAAATCTTTGGACTTACCGGTGGAAAAAGTAATGGCTCAATTGGATCAATTGCGGGAAGTCAAGTTTGGAAAGGATCCTACCAACAAGAAAAGACCACGAGAGTCTGAAGAATTGAATTGGAGAAAGAAAAGCATAATGTGGGAGCTACCGTATTGGAAGAAATTAAACCTTCGACACAATCTTGATGTCATGCACATTGAGAAGAATATTTGTGAAAACTTTTACGGGACGATGTTGGCCATAGATGGGAAAAACAAGGACACGTACAAAGCACGTGATGATTTGCAAGAAATGGGCATAAGGCAAGAATTGCATCTACAGAGGAAAGATAACGGATCTGTTGTAAAGCCTCGGGCAGCCTACACATTGGATTCTCGACAAATAGATGTTTTTTGTGAATTCTTGAAGTCTATTAGTTATCCAGATGGCTATGCAGCAAACATCTCAAGATGTGTGACTTCTAAAAATGGAAGATTATCGGGCATGAAAAGCCATGATTGTCATGTCCTACTTCAACGATTTCTACCAATTGGCATGCGTGGTTTTGTGAACAAGGAGATCTGTACAACACTATTTGAGTTGGGCAACTTCTTCCAAGAACTGTGCTCAAAAACATTAAGGCAGACTGATTTGGAAAAAATGGAGGAACGAATTGTGCTCATACTTTGCAAGTTGGAGAAAATTTTTCCTCCAGCTTTCTTTGATGTGATGGTCCATTTGGCTGTTCACTTGCCCCGTGAGGCCATGTTTGCTGGACCGGTGCAATATCGATGGATGTACCCGATCGAAAGGTAATCATTATGAATATATGGTTATTTATTAATTTGTTATAACTAAACTATTGTGCAAAAATCCACCCATAAAAGACTATTGTTTAAGAAGTAATTTTCTTGCATCAAGAAGCATAATTTTCATTGACAATTTTTGTTAAAGGTTTCTCGGGACTTTGAAAGGGTATGTCAGTAATAGAGCACGTCCAGAAGGTTCTATCACTGAGGCTTACATTGTCAAAGAGTGTCTTACTTTTTGTTCAATGTACTTAAAAGGGATTGATAAACCTGAACGAAATGATGATGGTGGTGAACGTGGTCCCGGGATGGAGGTCTTCACCCAAAATGCTCGTCTATTCTCACCTATCACAAGGGCTCTTGAACCTTCGCAAAATGAACGAGAAATGGCTCACTAGTTTGTGTTGTACAATAGCTCTGAGGTGGAGCCATATATTGAGTATGTATTTAAGTTTAATTATGTTTATACATAATCGTTCCATTTTGTTTTGAACTCTCTAAGTTAATAACGTATATCGCATTTCCTTGGGTAGGGAGCAGAAGAATATTTTACATAATCTACAAGGACGTGACATAACTCCGGTACAACGAGAAGAATTTCCAAAATGGTTCAAAACTCATGTAAGATATATTAAAGAAAATAACTGAATACAATTATTGAAACTTTCAATTCACATTAACTTAGTACACTTGTTATATGGTGTTTTATGTAGATGAATGATTTGCGAACGAAAGGGTCACCTGAAGCAACTGACGAATTGTGGTCATTAGCAAATGGTCCTGGATCAGTAATTGACTTTTATTCTTGGTGCATCTACAATGGAATTCGATTCCACACTAGAAACCGTGAAAATCGTCATACCTGCCAAAATAGTGGTTTGGTCGTAGAAGGGGACCATAATGGGAACCAAATTAATTTTTACGGCTACTTGTGCAAAATATGGGAATTTAAATACTTGCATGGGGGTACAGTGGTTTTGTTCCAATGTGAATGGTATGACACCGGTCACAAGAATAGAATATACTCCGATGAACATGTCACAAGTATTGATGTTACAAGACTTTGGTATAAAGATGACCAATTTGTTCTACCTAGTCAAGTAAGACAAGTATTCTATGTCAATGATACCAGCAAAGGCAAAAATTGGAGAGTCGTTGAACGTGTTAAGCATCGGGGAGTATGGGATATACCAGAGCGGGATGATGTCTCTAATGATGCTTTTCAACAGGATGAAACCACTGATGGTGTTGGGGTAGTGATCCAAGATAATGATGTTCAATACAGCAGGGGTGATATGGATCCTGAGATCATTTTCAATGATCAACTAATGGCAGAGAATTTAGTTCACAATGATGACGAGGACGACACAATCATAGAGTATAATGATGATGAAGATGATGAACTGCATAGACAACCTGATGTTGATGTAGATCCTGATATAGATCTTGATATAGATTATGATATGTAGTGTTTAATTTTTAATTATATGGACAAGTGTTATAATTTAATAATAAATTGCTTGGTTTACATTGCATGGCATTGTTTTTCAAATTTCATAGCATTGTTTCTCTATTTCATTTCATTTAATTATATGCCATATGTACAGTTACAAAGATGTCCAGAAACGGTAAATCATTTCTTAAGCCCGGCGGCTTAGTCCAGAAGATGACGAAATATGAGAAGGATAGGAAAAAAACAATCCAGAAAAATAAAATCAGATTTGATGCTCTAGGGATAAAGTCCCTCAAGAATTCAATGTTTGGTTCTATTGAAAAGGACAATAGTGAAAGTTGTAGGGTGGGAAAGAGAAAGGTGGGCGAAACTGATAATGACGAGGACTATCAACCACTTGATGATGATGAAGGACTGAGTTCTTCAAGTGATAATGGCGAGCCTTTTGATTCTCAAGTGATTAAGGTAATAAATGTGTGTTTAAAAAGTAATTTCTCTATTTTTTTCACTTGTTATATTACTTGTGGTATGTTTAGTTATTTCAAATTTATTTTTTATTAAGCAACCTTAAATTATTGAAACTGTACTAACAATTCTTTTTTATATTATGTCAGGATATTCATATGGGTCCCGGTAAAAAAACAAATAGGTGTGCAGCTCGCCTAATAGCTTCACAAATACCTAGGGAAAAGAGAACTACTGTTGATGAAGATACACTTACTCTTCCGAGACGACCTGTAACTGCACAAGTTAATCATTCAGAGAGCACACCTGAGGTCTCGACCCAACCTATCCATCTTCCCGCCTTACATACTAGGCCCGATCAGCTCCCTACCTCCGCCACTCAACCTAACCACCTTTCAAGTCCATGTATTGTGACTAACAGTGGAGGTGAGAAATAAATGACCACTTAAATGAAATGATAATTTCTTGTCTCAATATTTATTTAGTGCATTCATGTTTTATGTCGACTAAATTGAATAAAATTTTGGTCATAATAGCATCAATTCCAGTTTTGGGCAAGAAACGTGTACGAGGACCGACCCGAGGAAAGAATGTTGAGAAGATTAGAAAGGAACGTGGTGATCGAATACCCGTTACACTTAACCGTTTGACCAAATCAATAGAAGGGGATTACGCCACACCGCTAGCAGCTGCTCTTGGTCAACAAATTCGAGTTCATGCCCCAGTCCGAAATGATGGATGGCTAGAAATTGCCTTTGGGTTAAGAGAGTCCATTGTTACAAGAGTTGGGGTAATTTGAAATATATGTGTCATATATTTAACATGTTATTTATATTAATCGCAATGATATATAAAATATATTGAATTTTATTATTTCCAATTGCAGCAAACTTTTAACTTTGGGGACTACAATAATGATGTGGATGTGAGATGTATTATTGATCATAAGTGCCAAACTTTGTACAGTGAATGGAAAAGTAGATACACACACACTACAAATTGCTTAAAAAAGACAATGTATCTGACCTCAAAAGTCAGATACTATATCCTTGTACAAAGGATGATTGGGAATGGATGATTGACAATCTGTGGGAAACTGATGATTGGAAGGTATTTAGAAAAATATTTACGAAAGTAACATCCTCCTGTATATTAATACCTAATTTTTTTTTTAATTTGTAGGTAAAGTCAGAGAATGCGATGAAAGCGAGAGGTTGTGTGAAGTATAATCATACGAGCGGCTCGAGATCATTTGCATCGCGTGCATCTATCATTGTAAGTGTAGATTTACAAATTTGAACATACTAAATTATAAATACAGAATTATTGATTGACTAGAAAATCTAATGAAATGAAAGGTACAAGGAAGCAAATCGACTATTAGGAAACTATTCGAGGACACCCACAGATGTCACCGACATGGGGGAGTGTGGACAAATAACACAGCTGAGGAACATCATGTAACCATAACTATTTCAATTTCAATAATAAATGTTTGCATTTTGATATTATGTTTTAAGCTTATTTATGTTTCATTCATAGGCCACTATGGTTTCAAAGATCGCTGAGCAATCTCAACCTAGTGTCACACATCCATTGTCTGAGGAGCAGATTTCCAGAGAAGTGCTTGGGAAGAGGTCGGTCTACTTGAAGGGATATGGGATCTGCAAGGACAGTACTTCATCTTCTACACATTTTAAGGCTCCTAACTCCGAGGTGATTGTTCTTCAACAGTAGTTAGTTGACCAGCGACAACAATTAGCTGACCAAGGAAAGCAGTTACTTGACCAGGCTCAAAACATGAGTACAATGCAAACTATCATTCAAATGTTGGCAGCAAAAAATGGGATAGATCTAGCAAACATTCCGGGGTTAGTTCCAAGCAACAATGCTGGTGAGGATGCATCGGGTGTAAGGGAGGATGAAACTTCTCTTGGTTGAAATAGAGGTAAATTTGACACCTCATTAAATTGATTTACTTTATTTAACCAATCCTAACACACGTCAACAATATAAAATTTTATAAACTTTGTATTACAATCCTAGCATTACAACCTTTGTATACAATAGCTTGATATATATGAAAGCTTCACAACAATTTTTTGATTAATTTTAACTATATTTGTATATTATTGTTGAAGTTAATGCATTAATAAAATACTCATGTTTTTATCCTTTTGTTCACAGGTTGGTGATGGATGTTCGTGGTTCAGTAGTGATATATATCGTTTTGCACGTTGGCATTCATTTAATTTTTCTTTGTTTCGTTTTATAGGTTTTTCTGTTGAATGTTTATATACTTTTGGGAATTATTATGTTTTGGATTGTTGGATATAGTTAGACGCATTTTAGGATTCTTATGTTTAGTTTTGTTGGATATTTGAATAAAATTTGGGATATTGAAATGCATTTGATATTAATTTGGTTACATTACTAATTGTTATGATGTGTTCAGTTTAGTTTTTACGCAATGTTATGTAAAGGTTTTTTTTGTATGTTTTACAGAGAAATACAGGTTACTTAGAAATACACATTCAGGAAGTGGATCAATTATGGTTTAGGTGTAGTATGAATTGCTAAGTAATAATAGGTCATGGGAAGCTAAGATTGAATTTGTTTTAGATGGGTAGGCTGACAATATTTTAATCATCAGGAAAAAAGTATAGGGTGTCAATGTGTCTTATTTTATCTTGCATTTTTTATATTCATTTGTAGTAACTTGTTTTCAAATTCATTTTTTGTTCCTAAAAGAAAGGAAAAATGGCTTCATCTTTAATTCTGCTGGCTGCTGCTGCTGCTGCTGCTGCTGCTGCTGCCGTGGTGGCTGATGCTTGCTGCGGCTGCTGCTGCAATGTTGTTGTGAGGCGTGCATACTGCCAATCCATCTGATGAAGAACTTGCTGAATCTGCAGTTGTGATATGTGAAACTTCTGCAACATGTGGTGTGTTGTGTATACAACTAAGGAAGTGAATGGTTTGCGGAATGTGGGTGAAGTTGCACCTGTCGGGCATGCATAAGGTAACAACTAGTATAGTCTTATTTTTAGACTAGGCTGTGTATGCATGGTATATTTTTTCATTTGTCATTACATAATTTGATGAGGTGAAAATGTTAATCATTTGATGGATTTATTTTTCAATGGACTAAAGCAAGTTATATAGGGTTTTATGTTGATGCCATAGTGTTAGACTCCACTTTCAGCTTTTTTTTGTCAAAGTTTTCGTATCGTTTTCAATAGATTTTGCTAGTCTAGTGAGCGATCCATTGTTTTCACTGTAGTATTGGTTTTATTTTTGGCATTTTAAATTTTTTCAATTATGTGGATCGGATTTCGTTGAATCTTTTGATTGTTTGGTCTTGAAATTCAACTTTTGGGAGCAGAGTGTTTGAACCTTGTTTTGTTTTTTGCTAGAAATGTCCTGTTTAGGTCTTTGCCTCATTTGAATTGTTTTCAACACTCCTTTCGGGTAAGATTTTATTTGAATTTATCAGTATTGTGAAGATTTTTATGTGTTTCAGTTGAATTTCAAGTTTCACTTGATGTCATACAGTGTTTGGTATGTTCCTCCCCCCCTCCCCCAAACCACCACCATATTGTTTTGTTTAAGTGTTCTGATACCTTGTAATTTCTCTGCTTCATATGTACTGCAGACATGAGGAGAGATGTGCAGGAGATATTCAAGATGACTCCTCATGACAAACAAGTTATGATGTTTTCTGCAACACAGCAAGGAAATCCGTCCTGTTTGCAAGAAATTTATACAAGATGTAATGTCCTATGACAGGGGTATAGGTCTGTTCATTAACAGTTTTATCATTTGGTGAGATGTCATAATATGTCTTTCATAGACTTTCCTCCATGGCATTTTCGACAAAAGGAGTAAACAATTGTTTGCCCAAATGGTGAAATGAAATTGTAGAGAATTTACTTAGAAGACCAAGTCAGGTGGATCAGTTTTTTTGTTTATTATTGGTTAATTTCCCAGATATATAAGGAATAGATTACTAGTTTCAGTTTGTTTGCCTGAATTATCAGCCTAATACATGCTAGTGGTTGGTTCATATGTTCTTGTTTTAGTAACAACAGATATGAATGATAACTGTACCGAAATTACCCTGGGTCAGGTTGGATCAATCAATGACGGAACAAGACCTAGTTAAGCCCTTATTAGCAATGTCTTTTAAAATCTCACTACATTTGATATGCAGGAAAAAATGCGAGCCCAGCAATCCAAATTTTTGGCAACCATTAATTCAATTACAAATGATGGGTTGGATGGTTTAGAAGGTGGAGAAGAAGCATGCCCCTCTGATATCAGAAGCGACACTGGAGAGCCCACACAAGATGCCACTGCGAATGGCGGAATCGACCATTGGTTGGCTGCTAATTGGTTGTCCAATTTTGATTTTATTCTGTTGCAAATAAGTTATAAATGCATGGGAAATCATTTATCATGTATGCTCACCATGATCATTATAAATTTCTTACAACAAGCTCTGCTGTAAGTGGAACACCCTGTCACTGAGCGGATAGCTGAAATAAATCTGCCAGCAACACAGGTTGCAGTGGGAATGGGGATTCCTCTCTGGCAAATTCCTGGTATAATCTTACCAGATTTGGGTTTTTTATTTTAAAATCTTTATAAATTTTCTTGTTATTTATGTCAATTATTTTCCTATGCCTATTTAACTAGAAATTATGCAATTTTATGGAATGGAACATGGTGGAGGATACAATGCTTGGAGGAGAACTTCTGTCTTTGCTACCCCATTTGACTTTGACAAGGCAGAATCTACAATGCCAAAAGGTCATTGTGTAGCTGTGCGTGTAACAAGTGAGGATCCAGATGATGGTTTTAAGCCTACTAGTGGGAAAGTACAGGTTAGATTTTCAAAGATAGTTAGAAGTCTTTCTTTTATTATTATTTATTTATTTTGGGTTTTGGGGGGGGGGGGGTTAGTTTCATGATGAACATTTACCAAGTCATTGGAATTTTTACAGGAGCTGAGTTTTAAAAGCAAGCCAAATGTGTGGGCATACTTTTCTGTTAAGGTATATTTTTCTTTGTAATATTATAGGGGACAATCCTTGAATTCAAAAACTTGTGGCTGACAATTTCATGATGAACACTTACCAAGTCATTGGAATTTTTACAGGAGCTAAGTTTTAAAAGCAAGCCAAATATGTGGGCATATTTTTCTGTTAAGGTATATTTTTCTTTGTAATATTATAGGGGACAATCCTTGAATTCAAAAACTTGTGGCTGACCACCCTGTGATTGTTTGCAGTCTGGAGGAGGCATTCATGAATTTTCAGATTCTCAATTTGGTAAGTGGCTTAGAAACCTAATAAACTGGTTAAATCAAATGATATGAATGCAACTTAATTATAAACTAAAACTGTGCTGCTTGTTTGAGTTCTTCCAAGGTCAAATAACTTTTTGACCTTTAGTTTTTTGTGCTCCTTCATGTGACTGTGTCATATATTTATGGCTTACCAATGTATCCCATATGTATTCCCATATATTTATGTTTTTGTGAACTGATACATAATTTTATGATTAGATATTTGTACAATATATATACGTATCAAGTTTATCTCACGCAACCTTCTTCACTAAGGCATCATGATGATTTGTGTTTATATTTTTAGACAGCTTCTTTTAAAAACTTTCTAAGCAGAGTTATGTTCTAGGTGTATAGATGATTCTATAACTTATTAGTGTGTATGCTGCTAAAACTGAATATACCTCGGGTCATATTTTTGCCTTTGGAGAGTCCAGAGCCCTAGCAATCGCCAACATGGTTCTTCGGCTAAAGGAAATTCAAATTCGGGGAGAAATTCGTACAAATGTTGATTACACCATTGATCTATTACATGTAAACTTTCCAAGTTTTGACAATCTGAGCCATCCATAAATCTTTGTTGTATTTATTTATTTATTTTTCTGGACATATATCATCTAACAATGTAGTACATTTTCTCAGGCTTCAGATTATAAGGACAATAAGATACATACAGGTTGGTTGGATAGTAGAATAGCAATGCGGGTTAGAGCAGAAAGGCCACCTTGGTATCTCTCTGTTGTTGGTGGGGCTCTTTACGTAAGTCTTTCCCATTATACAGAAGGTTTAGGTTACTCAAGATTTCATGGTGTGGAGTGCATATCCTACTACTATACTTGATACCACTGATTTTCTTATTGCTTTTTATTTGTCAACCTTAGAAAGCATCCACTAGCAATGCAGCTATGGTTTCGGAGTATGTTGGTTATCTTGAAAAAGGGCAAATCCATCCTAAGGTACTGTGCTTTATTAGGACTGAGTTTAGGTTTCTCTTTCTTTCTCTCTCTTTATCCATCTGTCATTTTTTCTTTTTTTCCTCTGAAATTTGATGTATTGAGTATTGAGTGCCCCTCCATTTGCAGCATATATCACTCGTCAACTCCCAAGTTTCTTTGAATATTGAAAGGAAGCAAATATGCAGTAAGTTTTCGAAACAGACATTATGCTACTTGATTGTACAGGGTCCATGTCTAAGACTTTCTGAATGGAGTTTTTTTTTTTTTTTTGGACTGTTTAATGTCTCACTAATATAATGAATGTTTTCCGTTAGAATGATATGGTGAGGGGTGGGCCAGGAAGCTACAGATTGAAGATAAATCAGTCAGAGATCAAGGCAGAGATACATACTCTACGTGATGGAGGTTTATTGATGCAGGCAAGCATCTATTGTCTCTGCCATTTTCTTCAATATTCTCTGATGTCTGACTCTGCTGAAATTTGTAGATTCACAATTTCATTTAATGTTGCACTATAGTTATGGTCGTTATACCTAAAACTATCATGACACACATTGGTCCTTTATTCAGCAATTGTATATCTCAATTATAAAGTGCGTATCAACATAGTTTTAATTGTCACTTCAATTTGTCACAGCTGGATGAAACAATTCAGTATTATATATGCAGAGGAAGAAGCTGCCGGAACTTCGCTTCTGATTGATGGAAGGACTTGCTTGCTTCAGGTGATACAGATATTTTTCCTAATAATAACCAAACCATACTTAAGACTTGTGCCCAAAAAGTCGTGGGTCAGCTACATGGATCCTCTTTCCTAATGCTCTAATATTATTGGCTGAGAAGTTTTTAGTACTTTCTCTCGTCAATATAGAATGACAACGACCCACCCATAGTTAAGTGCAAAGACTGCCAATGTCAACTACTACGGTATCTGGTCTTTGATCGTAGTCATGTTGTGAGCCTGACATAGGCCTTTTGTGGAGGTGAGGTTATGAAAGATGTTATGCACTCGTCTTCACCTGCTTCCGGAATTAATCCATTTTTTGATGCCGAGTTGCAATAGCAAATGCAAGTAAATTATATCATAACATAGGAGTTTTATGTTTTCTGTTCCTTAGTATAACCAA